TTATTGATTTTTTACAGAGAGGAAGGGAGAGAGATAGAGAGTTAGAAACATCGATGAGAGAGAAACATCGATCAGCTGCCCCCTGCACATCTCCCACTGGGGATATGCCCACAACCCAGGTACATGCCCTTGACCGGAATCGAACCCGGGACCCTTCAGTCCGCAGGCCGACGCTCTATCCACTGAGCCAAACCGGTTTCGGCAATAAATGTAATTTAATTAGCCCTGGCCGGTATGGTTCAGTTGGTTAGAGTGTCGTCCTGTACAGCAAAGGGTAACAGCCAATGGAGGCAGCCAGTCAATGTTTCTCTCTCTCCCTTCCTCTCTGTAAAATTAATAAAAAATAAAATAAAACAAAATATTCTTTAAAATATTAATTAAATATAAAAGAAATACACCTGAAATTTATATAATTTTTTTTAAAATATATTTTTATTGATTTTTTTACAGAGAGGAAGGGAGAGGGATAGAGAGTTAGAAACATAGATGAGAGAGAAACATTGATCAGCTGCCTCCTGCACACCCCCCACTGGGGATGTGCCCGCAACCAAGGTACATGCCCTTGACCAGAATCAAACCCGGGACCCTTCAGTCCGCAGGCCGACGCTCTGTCCACTGAACCAAACCGGTTAGGGCTATATATAATGTTTTTAGTCAATGTTACCTCAATACATTTAATTTAAAAAGTAATTATTAAAAAAACCCCAGCTTCAACAGATCCTAGATGTTGGGATAGCTTTAGACCAGGGGTGGGCAAACTTTTTGACTCGAGGGCCACAATGGGTTCTTAAACTGGACCGGAGGGCGGAACAAAAGCATGGATGGAGTGTTTGTGTGAACTAATATAAATTCAAAGTAAAGATCATTACATAAAAGGGTACGGTCTTTTTTTTCAATAGTTTTATTCATTTCAGACGGGCCGTCGTCTGCCCACGGCTGCTTTAGACTCTCCGTGTGTGCACAAGCCTGCTCACCACCATGCTCTCCGCTGCCACCTGCACAGGCACAGTTCATCCTGTCTCTGGTCGAGCTGGCTGTGGGATGCTGGGCAGGATACCTGGTGTGCAGAGCGACTGCCAAAGGTGGAGGGCTGTGGCGAGGGCCGCGGTCACCAGGACTTGGCCTGGCGAAACCCCAGGCCACCGGGAGAGTGGCCACATCCCAGTGGGGAGCCCTTTAAGGACATCTGAGCTGACACCCTGTTTTGAAAGAGGAGCCTCCTGACAGGGCAGCCACGCCCATGAATTTAATGAGTTTCACTGAACTCCCAGGAGCCAATGCCCGAGGAGGGACAGGGACCTGGAAGTCTGGTCCCTGCCTTAGGGGCTCCCAGTGCGGCAGGGAGAGCGTGCCCCAAGCCCCTCTGGCCCACGCCATTAAGAGTGGTTAGTGCTCTGGGTCCGGAAGAAGGTGTCAAGGGATGGGGGCTCTAAAGGCTGGTGAGGGCAGTGGTTAGAGCCAGCTTTGCAGTCCCAGGCCTGGGTGTGCGTTCACCCTCTGCCCCTTGGCTGCCTAGCCCTGCTCTGCCCCGTTTTCTCATGGGTGGTTCTGAGTGTTAAAGAGAAGAAAGTGCATCCGTGCCTGGCAGGACGACTGGCTCATGGAACGTGAATGGAAGCTCTCTTTGTGGGAAAAGTGGGACGCAGGCTCAGGAGGCCAGTGTCCCGGGTTCGAATCCCAGCCCTGCCTCTTGTGGGCGTGCACCTTCAGGGCGTTCGTAACCTTGCTGGGCCTCAGTTTTCTTCTCTGTGAATTGGAGATCATCACAGTGCCCTTCTCAGGGCTGCCGCGAGGATGAAACCTTTGGCACAGAGCCCAGCATTACACACGGGAGCGAGACTCACAGAGGGAACCCTGTATTTCTGAGAGCCAAGCTTTGGGTGGCCAGGCCGCTGTGGGGCGCTGTCCCCTCCTCCTCTTGGTCCCGCCCTACAGATGCAGGTGTGGGGACAGCATTTAAACTCTCAGAAGAGCATTTTTCCTTTGGTTTATTTTGAGTAATCATAATTAACGTTTAGTTAGCAAATTGCATTTCTCCTTGTCGCACTCAGTGTTTTAGCGCGTTAGACCCAGGAGCCCCCTGGAGGCCTCCAGCCGGGCTCTGTCACTTACAGCGGGGACAGTGCGGCTCTCAGAGCTCAGAGCCGTGGCTGAGGAGACTGCCTGGGGGAGGCTCTCTGCCAGGGGCCCTGGTGTTCAGTCTTTCCATGCTCACCCAGCGCAGGTCCCCCTTGTGTGCGCGGCGTAATCACGGCGTCAGTGTGGCCTGAGAGCTGGTGGAAGGACAGCCGAAGGCGTGACCTGTGGCCGGTGCTGGAGGGTGCGGGCGAGCAGTGCGGTCCACCAGAACCGTGCAGTGTGCGGGGTAGCTGTGAGCCACAGGAGCCACTGAGTGCTTGAAATGTGGCCAGACTTGGAGAAACGGAATCCTTTTTAAAAAATGTTTAATCCTCACCCGAGGATATTTTTTCCATTGATTTTTAGAGAGAAAAGGAGGGAGGGAGCGGGGGGGGGGGGGGAGGAGGGGAGAGAGGGAAACATCAATGTGAGAGAGACACATCGACTGGTTGCCTCTTGCAGGCACCTCAACCTGGGTCAGGGATTGAACCTGCAACTGAGGTACGTGCCCTTGACCGGGAATCGAACCTGAGACCCTTGGGTCTGCAGGCGGATGCTCTGACCACTGAGCTAACTGGCCAGGGTGAAACAGAATTCTTAACTACATTCATTTAAATTCATTTAAAGGTAAATGCAGCTGGCCTCCTGTGTCTGGCGGCTCCCCTCAAGGGACAGTACAGTCTGTAGAAGAATTTAAAAACTGGAATTCCTGGGAGCTCTCTGGGGACTGCAGTCAGCTTTTAAATGGAGGTGGGCCTTGGCATGGCCCAGGCCGGCAGCCTGGAACCCTTCATTGGTAGGCCATGTGCAGGCTGCAGGCTGCTCTCTGCTTGCCTGCTTTTAGATGCAGATGTACTAGGATGTGCTTTGAGGTGCGGGGCTGCTGGGCCAGGGCAGCCTGGAGAAGGGCCGGCCTCCAGTAGACATGCCTGCCGGCGATGCTGGTGGAGTGGGCTGGACTTCAGGACGCTGTGGGGTTGGAATTGCCCCCCTTGGGCTCTGTCTTTGGGCTTACAGCGGAATTAATGGAAACAAACCTAATTGACAGCAACCACATTTGGAGGGAGCATTCTGGAACATTCCCTAAAACGATGCGGTGCCTGGGGGAGGCTTGGCCTTTGCAGCCGGGAGAGCCTGTGGTTGGGCGGCTGTGCTCATCCGCTCTCCAGGCTCCTGTAAGTGGGCCAGGCGGCCGCATCACCTGACCAGCGCCCCAGTTTCCATTAGGCCAGAGAGCTTTCTCCTGGGGGCAGGCTCCTCCGGAGGGTCCGGCCTGGTGGCCGCCCTGTACGCCTGCTGCCCACTTGCTCTTTCTCTCACTCTGAGAGGGTCCTGGGGAGGCCTCGCAGCCGAATCACGGAGGAAGCTCCTTACAGACGCAGGGAAAGTCGCCCCCAGGCAGGTTTAAACATTTATGAGGCATTTGGGGAAACTTGAATAGTCCCTTGACAGTTAATGATATTAAGGGATTCATACTATATTTTAGGTGAGATAATTGTTTGTGTGGTTCTGTTTATAAAAGGAGTCTTTATCTTTTATTTATTCATTTTAAATATATATGTATGTATGTATGTGTATATAAAATTTTTTTTCCCTTGAAAAGGAAGGGAGAGGAAGAGAGAGAAACATCAATGATGAGCGTCATGGATCGGCTGCCTCCTTTACGCCCCGCACTGGAGATCGAGCCCACAACCCCGGCATGTGTCCTGAGCGGGAATTGAGCCGTGACCTCCTGGTTGACAGGTCAGTGCTCAGCCACTGAGCCCTGCTGGCCAGGCAGGAGCCTCTACCTTTTAGAGGGAATGTGAGATGTTGTGGACGCTAAGCTGTGATGTCTGACGTTTTCCTCAAACGCTGTGGAATGGGGAGCTGTGGAATGGGGAGCGGGTGGGGCCCCGGATCGATGCCCGTTTGGCTCAGCCACCTGCCCCCAGAGTTGATTGTTTGGAGCTGTTTGGTGGGGCGGGGAGTCATTTCCTTTTTTTCTACTCAGTAACCCTTTGATGTTTTCCACAATTAAAGAATAAAAAGGGAAACTGGCCTGCTGGGAGCTGAGAGCCACTCCTGAAGCAGGGACTGTGCCTGTGTCTCCTTTCCCCGCCTCCCTGCTGCCCCAGGACCCAGTGCAGTGCTGCCTCCCGCCTGCACCCCACCCCCACCCCCACCTCCTGCTGTGGGGAAGGGGGGGCCCTTCCAGCCCAGTCTAGCTGCTCCTACCCCGGGGCCTGGTGGCTCCTGTTCTCTCAGCCTATCAGACACCAGTGTTGCGACTGGTTCTTGCAGTTGCCAAAATGTCATTCAGCGATAACCATCAGGAAACTTTGAAAGTTATTACTCACAGGATCTGAAGACCCACAGCCAGCCTCTGTGAGGTCAGGGGGTTGGGAAGGAGGGGGGGCGAGCAAGCTGGGGGGGCGAGCTTGCGCGTGAGGCTGTGCCGGGTTCTGCTTTTGTTGTGTTTACTGTGGTGGATGATGAGGTAAGAGGGAGAACTTAAAGTTCGCAGAGAAACAAGCAAGTGGCTCAAATGGGGTTTGAAATCAGCCAAGATCTCTGAAACAAAGGAGCCTGCCGGGCGGGGCCGGGCTTCTCCCTGCATCCCCCCAGCCCCTGGCATCTGGCATCGTGTTCGAAGCGGATGCCTGCCGGAAGCGGGTGCCTTGGCCCGCAGAGCACCAGCCAGGCGCCTGCATTGCCACATACAGGCGCTGCACCTCGTCTGTCTGATCGCTGCCTCTGGCCTGTTGGCGGGGCTGCTGCCTGGGCCTGGCTTGGGCCTGGCACCGCGATCTTGGTGGGTGTTGTCACAGCTCCACCTATTTCCTTCCCCCTGGCCGGCCTGGGCCCTGCTGTTTGTCTCTCATTTGCTTGGCTGTGTGACTTCAGGCTGAGTCATGACCTGCTTCTTGCATCACTGGCTGCTGAGGAGCATCCTGCTGGAAGCCCCACTGGCTGGCCCTGCTGCGGGAGGGGAGGCGGCCGGGGAGGCCTCCGGGGACCCGCGAGCTCCGAGCTCCCGTGGGCAGGGCCGCTGGAGACCGGAGTGGGGCTGCTGAGCCGCGCGCTGGGAGCTGGGAAGCGGCCCCTCTGGCAAGATGAAGCTGCTGGCCTGGGCCCTGCGCCTCCGCCTCCCCGGGCTCACGGCCGGGCGGGCACCTGCCTGGGAGCGCCTGGGGCCCCGGAGCTCCGCGCGGCTGTGGCTGCCGCGCTGGGCCTCCGTCCGGGCTTTTGGAAGCAAGTATGGACCTTCTGCCTCTGGAAGGTAGGACGACGGGTTCACTGCCGTGCCCTCGGTGATGGCGGCTCCAGCAAATTCTCCCACCTGAGGAGGGGTGGGGCCCCGGATCGATGCCCGTTTGGCTCAGTGGTTAGAGCGTCGGCCCACGGACTGAAGGGTCCCAAGTTCGATTCTGGTCAATTTGTATCCAGCACATACCCTGGTTGGGTGTTTGTGGAAGCAACCACTTTGATGTCTCTCTCTAAAAATCAATGGGAAAATGTCCTCGGGTGAGGATTCGCAAAAATAAATAAGTACAGCCAGCTCATCAGAAGTTCGGGTGCTCCGGGACCTGTGACTGGCGTCCAAGGTGGGGGTAGCCTTGCATGACTAAGCCCTTTAGCCTGGAGCCTGTGCTAACGCTGGTTCCTCCATGTCAAACTGCACTGAATTGTGGGACACCAGCTGGTGGCTTAGAGACTTGGTTGATGTGAACGGAAAAATGTGCACAAACAGGAATGGAATTGCTGGGTCATGTGGTAATTCTGTGGTGAAGTAAGAAACATTCAAACCTGTAGAGAATTTTTTCAGTTTATTTGAGCCAAACTGATGACATATGTCAGGGAGGCAGTTTTTGTTGTGGTGGTTTTTTCTAATATATTTTTACTGATTTCAGAGAGGAAAGGAGAGGGAGAGAGAGAGAGAAACATCAATGATGAGAGAGAATCATGGATCGGCTCTCTCTTGCACACCCCCCACTGGGGATGGAGACTGCAACCTGGGCATGTGCCCTGACTGGGAATCGAACTGTGACCTCCTGGCTCATAGGTTGATGCTCAGCCACTGAGCCACGCTGGCCAGGCTAGTTTCCTTTATGTGTTTAAATTAAGGAGGGAACATAGGAAGGTTACATGAAGGCGGGGAAGGGAGGCAGGAATTGGAGTACTGGGTGGTTAACAGATGAGCCCCCTTGAGGGTCAAAGGTGTGTTAACCTAGAAGCACAAGAACAATGGACAAGGAGTTACAGGCCCGAGGCTGCCTCCCACCATGACCTGCCCGCTGGAAATGTATGATAAGATCTCTGGAGGTTACTTTTCACAGAACCTGTTCTTTCAGCCCGTCTGTGTTTCGCCTTTGAAGAACTGCCAGCTGTTTCCAGCGGCTGCCCTGCTCCACGCTCCCGCCAGCACTTGTTGGTCCGTCCTTTGGTCCAGCCACCCTAGCGGAGGGGAAGTGCGTCTCATTGTGGTTTGGCTTCGAGCTTCCCTGATGACTAACGATATTGCGTATCTTTTGTAAGCTCAGGGCTCTTTTTACGTCTTTGGAGAAATGTCTGTTCAGACCCACCTGTTCTCACTTGGCGTATTTGTCCGTTGGTTACCGGAGGCCCCCGGGTGGGCTCGGGCTGCCTGTCGCAATGTCCGACACTGGAGGCAGGTGCAGTCATACAAGGCGCGTATTGAGAAGGCAGCCAACCAAGAAGCCAGGGCGCTTACAGGCATTCAGATCCCGTCTTCCAGCAGGTGCAGGGGGCAGGGTTACACGGGGGAGTGGGCGAGGGGAAAGCTGGGGACGGAATGCGGTTACAAGCAGTCCCGGGGCCAGCAGAATCCAGCCATTGTTCCTGGTTGTCAGGTGATGAGATGACCGTGGCTCCTGGTGGGTCGGCCTGACCGTGCGTCAGGTCCCGTGTCCATTGTCCACAGCTAAGTCACCTCGTCCATCACTTTGCTCGGGATAAAGGGAGTGTGCACTGGCCTGAGAAAGGAAACTCAGAAAAGCTTCACCCTGTTAATGTAAAAAAAAAAAACCATTGCAACCTGTAAAGAATTGTTGTGAGTTTATTTGAGCCAAACTGTCACCATATGCCGGGAAGCAGAACCTCAACGAATTGAGATAATGCTCCGGAGAATGGTGGGTTACATCCGTATTTATACATTTTAATCAAAGGAGGGACGTAGGTGGGTTACATGGAATCTATTGGTGATAGACTAGAGGGGCGGGAGCAAGCCAAGTGGGGAAACCCCTGGGGATTGGATAAAAAGTAAAATGACGGACACATGCTTAGGTGGGTACAGGAACAATTAACATGATAGTGAAGGGATTTGTGGTCTCTGTCCTGGCGCCCAGCACATTTGGTTGTGCCCCAGGGGCTCCAGAAAAAGGGAAGTTACAAGTGACCCAAACATTTCAAGGGTATGTTGTAGATGCAAAAGGACAGACAGGCTCAGTGAAGGTAAAGGTCAACCTTGTCAGTGAAGACACCGGCGTACGATGTAACTGCCCACCATCACTGCTTTTAAGGTTTAATTTCAGACCATCCTTGGTGGTGACTTTAGGTCTGAGTTTGCAAGGCTGCCATGCAGGCCTCTGATCTGTCAGGTCAGCCTGTGGCCCCTTTTGTCCACAACCCTCTGTTCTCAGAAGGATCTGTGTTCTAGGACTTAAAGTTAATGCGATGATTTTCCAGGTGAATTCAGGTGCTCTATCAGATTATAAGGCCCCCCGTCACTTTTATTTTGTGTTGTAAGAGTTCCTTCTATAGAGTATACGAGATACAAGTTTCTTCTCAGATGTATGATTTGCAAAGATTTTCTCCCATTCAGTGGGCTGTCTTTTTACTTAAAAATTTTTAAAAAAAATTTAGTTCAGAGAGGAAGGGAGAGGGAGAGAGATAGAAAGTCTACTCAACGGCTGTTACCACACATAGTTACACATTTTTTTCTTGTGATGAGGACTTTTATTCTCTGAGCGACTTTCAAACACGCACTCCAGTGTTACAGACTGGTCACCGTGATGTACCTTAAGGCCTCGCCATTCCATTATCTTCCATCGCAAGTCTGTGTGCTTGGCCGTTCCCTCAGCCACCCCCCCTGCCGCTGGCAGCACCGGTCTGTCTCTAGGAGCTTGTTAATTTTGAGTGTGTTTGTTTTTTAAGATTCCATATGTAAGTGAGATCTTAGGTTGTCTGTTAAAGCAGCGGAGAGGGCTTCACCACTCCCCCACCCCCACCCCCCATTGCTATCGGGAGTGAATTTCTTGCAATATCCCTGAGACTTGCATGGGAGGATGCGATTTAGTGGAAAGCTCTGTTTCCATGGAATTAAATCCGAGTCCTGAAGTCCCATAGAGTGTAGCTGGGCTTCCGCAGAGCTCAAGTCCGAGCCGGTGCCCGCAGTCTCCTTTCCTTGTTGGAGCCGGGTCCAGTCCAGCGTCCGGCGGGCTTAGCTGTGTTTCCCACTGCAGTTCCTGGTCCATTGCGTGTGAGGTCTGCATGGCTACGGGCCACAGGCCATGGAGCGAATGCAAGGAGGCAGGACAACAGAGCCCGCAAGCCAGTCACTGAGCCAAGAGCGTGCGAGAGAGCGCTCCTTTGTTTGCATGATGTGTTCCCAAACTCTCACACCCTTGCCGTGGCCACGCCCTTTCTGGCCAATGGTTTCTGTTCCCAGGTGTAACTGACAGAAAAGTACACCCCCCCCCCCCCCCCCCCGGCCGGATTGGCTTAGTGGATAGAGCATCAGCCTGCGGACTGAAGGGTCCCGGTTCGATTCCAGTCAAGGGCACATGCCTTGGTTGCGGGCTGGATCCTCAGTAGAGGGCTTGCAGGAGGCAGCTGATCAATGATTCTCTCTCATCATGGATGTTTCTATCTCTCTATCCCCCTCCTTTTCTCTCTGAAATCAATAAATATATATATATATATAACATCACAGATATGGAAGAAGTAATTTGTAGAAGACATGGGCTTAGGAGACAAGTTACAGAGGCAAAGGAAGGGCCCTGGGAGCTTAGCAGTGAGGAAGGGGAAGGTGCCGTGCCTGGAGAGATGGGGAGGGAGAGGGGACACGAAAGGCGTGGCCTGCCCCTGGGAGGGAGGGCCAAGATGCCATTCTCTCTACGGCTGCATGATATTCCTCTGTGTACATGTACCGGCCTGACCTCTCCTTTAACCCGCGATGGACACCTGGGCTGCTCCCAGTCTTGGCTATTGCCGTGAACATGGGTCCTATGTCTTTTTGAATTAATACTTTTTCTTCAGATAAATACTCAGAAGTAGGGCCTGGCTGCGTGGCTCGGTTGGTACGAGCGTCGTCCCGTACACCAAAAGGTTGCGGGTTCAGTTCCTGGTCAGGGCATGTACCCGGGTTGTGGGTTCAACCCCCAGTCGGGACACATGAGGGAGGCATCCTATCCATGTTTCTCTCTCACATCAATTTTTTTTTATTTCTTTCTCTCCCTCCCTCTTTCTCTAAAAATCAATGAAAACATATTCTCAGGTGAGGATTAAAAAAAATTCAGTCCTGCCAGTGGGCTCAATGGTTAGAGTGTCGGCCCTCGCACCACAGGGTCGAGGGTTTGAATCTCGGTCAAGGGCGTATACTTGGTTGTGGTTTGCTTCCCACCCCTGGTCAGGGAGCATGGGGGAGGCAACCAGTTGATGTGTCTCTCTCACATTGATGTTTCCCTCTCTCTCTCTCTTATCCTCCCCCAACCTCCACTCTCTCTGAAAGGCAGTAGAAAAAAATATCCTCGGTGAGGATTAACAAAACCCCCACCAACTCAGAAGTGGTATTGCCAGGTCACGTTGCCACCGGAAAGGGACTGGGCCCAGAGCCAGTCTGCCCCCGGACGGCCAGTAGCGTGTGGGTTATTGACTTGGTGTAGGAAAGATTTCACAAGACCAGTCCAAGCCATGTGAGAGGATGTTTATTAAAGGCGGGACAGGGAAGCAAGGACGGGCTTAGGGTGGGAAGGGCAATGGGAGAACTGGGCTGGCTGCCTCGGCCCCGGAAACATGGGAAAGCAGTGGGCCACGCAGGCTGCGTGGGCTCCCCGAGAAGTGTGGTCACAGGGAAGGCAGCGAGCCCAGGTGGGCTGCTGGGAGCTCCCTGGAAAGTCAGAGAAAAGGGGGCCTTGGAGGCTGGATCGGGGTACGCCTGGGAGGAGCTGCCCGGCGGCAAGTGTCGGGGGACCCTTGGAGTTTGGGAGAGAAAAGTCGATGCACGCCCGAGAGGGAAGAGAGAGCCGCCTGGGTCTTATC